AACGTCACAAAATTACTACAAAAGCTAACAACTTTTTTTTTTTACTTTAGGAGAAAACCCAGCCGCAATGCAACTTGGCAAAATCTTACAACTTTTTTTTTTACTTTAGGAGAAAACCCAGCCGCAATGCAACATGGCAAACAATCTTCTTCTGCAAGAGAATATTTGCCAACAAACTATCTGTGGATTGGAATTATACTACTCAGTCAACAACGGTGATAAAAAATTCATTGGACCTTAAGAAAACAGTGAGTTGACGTTCATGTTATGCGTTTCGTGGCATCAGGAAGACTATCACAGTTTATATGGAAGTTAGTCTATAAGCACTTGTCAAACATTTGAATTAAAGGACTTTTTTAATGACAATTTGTATAATTTATCAAGTGAGAAATGTAACATAAAGATGCAGTAACTTTAGACAAAAATGTATAATGAACAAGTTTTTACTGTTATACAAAAAAATCAACATTTAAATCATAAAGACTTTAAAGCAGTGTGCTCACTTGTTTTAATTTTGAGAGTCAATAACTGTATTGGAAATGTCTTTAAGTTCCTCTGGAACGATCCCTGTGCTCACAATAAAGGCTCTAATACCATGAAAATTTCGGGTAAGCATTCGTGAATATATTAAACTAAAATTTTAAAGGTTTATAATTTTGACGATAGCTCTGTGGCTTATTAACAATGAGTAAGTTTCTGGTTGTATGGTTGTAGTTCTTCACTGAAGTTTGGTGTGAATGAAAAAAAACGGTTTATCTGCAACTCAGTTACTTGTATATACATGTACATTTATTGTCATGATTGTCTTGGTTGAAACTACAGTAGATAAAAACAATGGAGCTATCCTTATTTTCTTGTACAAAATCTTAGTTACCTAATTTGTAGTGAATCATTTTTTATGCTCATACATATTTACATATTTGTGTGGGTAAATATACCTAATTACTTAAATGTTTTAAGTTACTGATCATGCATGTAGTCAGTTAACATTTATAAGTAACAACTGTGGCAGGGTTATACGTTATAAATGAAACAACTGTTTCTCAACTTCTACATATATATGACGAATATATCTATTTGTATTCTAAACTAATAAAAGTAGCAGTTTTTTTAAATCATTTAATACACACCCACTGGCTTATGTTGCTTATGTGCTTCAAGATTTCAAGTCAGTATTATAAGACATTTTAATAACGTATTACGTGTTATAAAGCTCATTTAGATAATTGCTGAATCATCACATTTGCAGCATAAGTTATTCTAAATGGAAGAGTTTCATGTATTTGTACAAAGTTATATGAGCTAAGCCCAGGTAGTGTTTTAAAGTCCTGACTTTCTATTTACTTAATCACTATTTACTGTAGATTTTGCAAGCGAATAATGTTGACTTATTATTGTTTTTCTTTATGTGCTGACGAAGTTATGGTGCTTGTTTGTTAACACTCTGTTACGTTATCCATAAGTCATGTGACACTTTTAATTATTTCCATGTGCTGTAAGGAGCATGTTGATTCGGCTATAACTTATGTAATGTTTATTATAAAAATATACAAATGTAATAAAGTCTTTGTTATTTCTTGAAAATTTGCGATTCTGAACAAAAGGTACTGTTTAAATAAAATGTTATTTGTTGACATTATGAGACCTTTCTTCTCACACGTCTCTGATCTTGTAACAAAACATCTAATTAAAACCATTCCAAAAATATGATATAACATAAAAATATGCATCTTAGAATTTTTTCATTTTTTCAATATAAATTATATAAGTAACTTAAATTATTTAGCAATATAAGTTTTAGTTCATTGTTGAAAAAGAAAACGTCTAATTTTGTGTCTTTTTCTTTTCGTATAAAATGCCACAAATATTTAGTTTGTTCCTTAATTCATTAAAAAAAAACTGCTTTCTGCAAAATAAAATTTCCAAACAAAAATTATGTAAAATCCTTCATGAAAAGCACGTTTTAAAAATAGTACATTACGAAATATTATATAAAATAATAATAACAATATTTCAGTGGAACCTTAATTCATAAAGATAAAAATAAATAATGTTTGATAAAATGTGGAGATATCTCATTATAAAATTAATAGTAAAATCAAAATAGCTAAAAAAATATGTCTAAAAAACAAGGTTTATCGTTTCACTGACACCAATATCATCAGTGCTATTTTTTAATTATAACCTCTTTTAATGTCTTGATTTTACTTATAAACATATTTGATTGATTTCGATGTCCACGATCATTATCACTGACTTGTATTCTTATACTTCATCATTTACATCCAAATGAATTACTGTACGCCATTATATGCAATCATTACAAACAAATTCCAAAAGTAAAATATGGTTAGTAAAATAACCAAAAAGTATCAAACTTAATCATTCCAACAACGTAGTTTCACTACTTGTGGAAACTACCCATCTGATGTTATATCTTCTTATGGATATATTTTATGTTATAATTACAACTTCATATATCATAGAGACATTTTACATTATATATATTTGTGGGAGAACGTGCTTAAACGACGTCATGAATATAGGGACAATTAGGAGTGTACAAACGTAGATTGGCTTTTCCAAAAAGAAAAGTGCAATATAGCATCCTAAATTAATTCAGTTTGTAGCCTTGTATATACGTTTGCCCAGTTAATTCCTTCCACAGATTTGGCCAAATTTGGTAAGCGAACTCGAGATCGCTCATGGGTGTCCTTATCTATAAAGCATGGCTTCCGTCCAAGATCCTCCCTGAAGGTCACCCAGGAGCTCTAAGAGTAGGCTTTCAAGGCTGCCGAACCCAAATTTGGAATACGATTTTGTGTCTCTGAGGCCAACTGGAACCCCAAGACAGCCATGTTTAAATGTTTAAAACTGTTCATACCCCCCCCCCCCCATCAAAATCTAGTTGAACGAAACTTGGCACATATGCTCAAGTACTACTAGCGGGTAGAGTAGCGGGTTTTTTCGGGTATGAATCCCCTTGTGGACGTTGCGGATAACGAAAGTGTTTGATCGGTACACATGAGTCTTTGTAAGTCATGAGAGAACCTTTAAATCTCCGAAGTAGAACACGAGTATTTTATGTCAGTGCTTGTTTGTTTTTTACAACAAATCCACCGAGAACTGGACTGTTTCAATAACTTAAGTTGGAGAAAAATGTATAAATTGTATAAGAAACTACTTATTTTCAGTCAGAAAAAAATAAACAGACTATATTAATCTGCTTCTAGGAAACTTAAATTACAATTACATACATACGTCAAATATAAGTTTCACAGTTATCATATTAGAAAATTGGATATTCTATTTAATTTGTTAACGACTTCATTAGTAGGGTGAAACTTTACTATTAATTTGTTATATTATTGTAAAGAACGATAAATATCCTCTAATACCTGACACTTTTTATTGGCACCGTAATTGGAATTTAACATCTGATATCTTTACTTTCTAATATTCCTGAATCTGCTTTGAGAATACGAAAATGACACAGAATCTGAGCTTATTGCAATTATACAAAATACATCATGTTTAACGAAAAGTGTAATCCTTAATATGCCAATTGGACACAAATTTCTATACAGACTTTTTCTTCTGCTTTCATACTGAAACGAAAAGAAATTAAATATCTTAACATTGGATCCATTACATCTGAGAACAACTTGTTTTCTGTACAGTCTGGTTGGAGTGGTCTTGACAAAACAATCATCAATTAGAGAGTTTGTAATTAACTGGTGCATTTATATCAATTACTCCTGCAAGTAACTAGTTTGGTGAAACCTGATCATTCAAAACTAAATTTGCACCAATACTGTAGTATTTAGTCCCCGAACAACTACTATCCCGATATTTAAGACCTTACAATTTATAACGTCTCTGCTTCAAAAATGTATGAATTTTCTCTATTTTATTCTGAAATTTTATGAAAATTTTAAAATAATATCGATGATATCTCTTGTTTCAAATTTGAAACAAAATTAGGTCAGTTAGTTAGTATTAGTAACAATACTGTAACAACTTTTATACCCACACTAAGTAGTTCGCAACAAATGCTTTCTGTGCAGGATTTAACACAAGTGTTATATGTACTATGTGCAGAGTTTCACACTTACTGTTGTGTGTGTGCCAGTTCCTACACTTTGTATGTGCATGGTTTCTCACAAGTGTTGTCTGTGCCAGTTTCGTACGGATTGTGCATTCAATTGCTTTGAATCTGTCACGTTCTACAAATGCATAACATTAAACTTTTTTTCATTTTGCCCTGGTGTAAGAGACTTATCCATTAAATGAAAAAAGAAACAACAATCTTCCCCTTTATATCACACCAATGCACCAAACTCGTTGATGACCTGGAACTCCTTTCATGTTTAAAACTTAATATATTTCCATGTTTTGGTATTTGTTTCATGATATTTTAGGAATTACAAACATAAATGCTGGAACTGACAAAGATAAGAAATAGAACACTAGATTTCTAGAATATATTTCATTTTTTTCTTTTGTTAAAGCTAGATATTTGCCATTTGGATAAATTATCCCATCTTTGATACTCCGGTCTGAAAATTTACATTGTGTGGTAACATTCTGTAATTAATGTAATTAATTAAAACCAGATTTGCATATCATTTCATTTAAAGTTCCACTATCAAAACCAAGCAACTTGCAACATTTTGATATAAATTTTTCCCTTATATTTAAATTGCAAGCAATATCTTTGTGTGGCTACAGTATTTTCAATATATTTTTTTTTTAAATTGCAATAACCCCCCCCCCCCGAGTGGCACAGCGGTATGTCTACGGACTGATGCCGCTAGAAACCGGATTTCGATACCCGTTGTGAGCAGAGCACATATAGCCCATTATGTAGCTTTGTGCTTATGTACAAAACAATCATTAACTGAGATGATTGTTTATTTGTTGATTTTTTAACTTATTACTGCATTATCCTTTTAAAACTGAATAGCCAAATATAATATGTTGGTCCAAAGTGCTCCACGAATTGTTCTATATGTGCATGCATGTGCATATTAGGAGTAACTCTATCTTCAAATCTCTTCCAAAATGACAAAATAGCCTATGAAGAAATTGTACACTGAAGTTTGTTTGCATTTTAAAACAAATGTTTTCATGTGATGAAAATATGTTTTTCGGAACAAAAATTGAGAAAATTACTAGCTAATGTTTCCACTTGTCTATTTGAAACTACCAAAGCTTGATGCAACTTTCTATGGAAGTATTCCAAGATCAGATGACAATAAATTAGTTATGTTTTCATCTGCATCCTTAATAACTGCTCAGTGACAAATTCTTGTTGTTGTTTTTGCAGCTAAGAAGATCAAGTTATGCACAGAACCAAATATAGTCAGTAAGTGGATCAAACCAGTTCAATACCAAGAGAGCAAAGTAACGTGAGCCATATTCTTCTAAATCTTCTCCACAGGCCTTAGTTTCTCATTAATAATTTATTGCCTACATTTTCAGGAATAATGAATTATTTCTTAATTTTCATTCTGATTTATTAAAAACCACCACAAGTTTCCATAGAAACCCCATCCAAGAAAGCTTTTATGTATTTTTTACACTCTATACTGGAGGATGATGTTTAATATGGAATATCAACAATACAAGAAAGCCTAAAATAGGGGAAAAAAGGTTAAATGGAAGAGCTCCATTAAGGTCACAGACGTAGGTGGTGACTTTTTTTTTCTATAATGCCATTCACGGATAGCTTTGATAAATATATATTATATCATTAAAAGTGTTATTACTTAATTTGCATTCTGATGTTCTACATACCACCGTAATCTGTCCAAGGAAACCCATCCAAGAAAGCTTTAGTACATTTGTTATACTCCATGGTGGCAGAATCACCTAAAAACCACACATTTGTTTTATTTGCTTGGTTTATCACAACCAACACATAATAAATCTAAATAAACATATGAGGTGATTTGAACTCTTCACATAAAAGTCACTTCGTGCAACCTTTAACTCATAAGATGTTCTAGAAGAAGTGCTGGTTAGAAGCCACCGTTTTATGTATGATATAACTCATTAAAATGATATATATATATAATTTTACTTGGCACATTTAATAAATTGAGATAAATAGATCCAACTGAATACTTAGTATGTTTAAAAGGTTGAAACCAGGACACTTTGAACATTAATACATAGCTTTGTTCACTAAATGAAATTTTCTATCTATCACTTTAAAATTTAAGCAAAATTTGACGATTATAAATATCAATCAAATCAGCCCCCCAGTGGCACAGCGGTATGTCTGCGGACTTACAACGCTAGAATCCGGGTTTCGATAACCGTGGTGGGCAGAGCACAGGTAGCCCATTTTGTAGCTTTGAGCTTAATTACAAACAAACAAACCATCAAACCACTGCCAGGTAAATGTCTGAGTCTCTATGTTCCATACTTTTTACTCAAAATCAAGTATTTTTCTAAATATGATTAGCTGAATTTACTTTTACCTTTATATACACAGTTTATAATGATAATAATAATGTCTCTCCCCACGCTCTACACAAATGGAGGAGTAGGTGAAATGCAGTAAAGCAAACTTCAAACTTTATGACCTTCA